TGCCGCACTAAACTGAGTCAGTTTTACTCACCATCAAAAGGTGAGTCCACATTTCTGTGGGTCTTAGTAGAAGGAACTTAGACAGGGATTTTTGAACACCAAAGGTCAAGAAGTTAAGCTACCTGTGCCAAATCTGCCACGATCCAGGTCTTGCACTGCAAGACTTAAAAACCCTATAGAGTGAAGACCAGAGAAAACCACAGTGTATACATACAATGCAGATTACTATAGAAACAAAAGAAATTGAAGAAAAACATCACTGGTAACCACAGAAAACTACTCAGGTAGAACTGGTTTTGTGTTACATAGAGCCACTACATGACTTAAAATATGCCCTCTTCAGGTTTTCCTTTGCATCACCAACTAAAATATAACTAAAGTTGTATAATTTAATGTTACTGTTTAACCTATTAGCTTTATTGTGTTTTGATTTTATTTTACAATTTTCCTAGGTACTGTATCCACACAAATGGCATGTGTACAACTGTGCATGTTTATCTTTGATTGGTAACAGGGGTAAAAACAGACAATCCCAATTTCACAGGAGTTTTAACAGGTTGTACGACAGGCAGTAGATACAGTGTTGCTCTCCTACTACATCCCAGCAGCATTATCTTGGAGGTTAAGAAAAACACAAAGTGCAAATACATGAATGGAAATAAGGGGAACAATGTCGTGCTGAAAAAGTAACGACTCTGTAGGACCTCACATCTTTTCCAAATCTTCCCAATAATCAATGCCACAATGGTAACTAATGTTGTAGGATAACTTGAGAATAAAAACTTTACGTGCAGAACATACAAAAAGTAAGCAATGACATCAGATACTTTTATGGAGAGGAGAATGAAAATTGATTACTGATCGAACGCATGTAAACTGTGGTTTAGAGTAATCATATTGACACAATGTGTCGTCTCTCCTCTACCAACCTTTAGTATCAAAGCAGCTTGATTTCATTTGTACACGTCAACGCATTAAAACATTCTGCTGTCACATAAACATAAAACATATCAGTTGCGTTTGAAGTAGCTGGTCAGGGAATTACTTACAGACAATCCCTCTGACGGCATTGGCCACGAATCAAAGTGTCTTTCTATTCTGCTCCATCACTGTGACCTTGACATCTGCAATGCTGAAAAGACACAGTATCTTGTCACCATAAGCAGAAAGTCATAGCTCATCATACCCAAACCTGCAGGACTATTTTTGTCAACATGTTATGAATATGTAATTTGAAAACCAAAAAAACAAGATTATTTAATTACTGATTTAAAACAACCCAAAACATGGTTTTAAAGCATTCCTTCTTAAAATGTATTGTGCAGTCAATGCAATGTGGGCTTTCACATCTCTGGTTGTGGAGTTAAATCTCTAACGTTGGGTGTCTGGTGAGAAACCTCTCACATCTCTGTTGTAAACTCCACAAATTCTAATTACTTCTGAAACCAACTTTTACTTTTTGTTGTGATCTTTGAGCTTCTCAAGCCACTTGGTCTAACACTAATAAAAAAAACTGCACTGAGCTGATCATGGCACTGGGCATGTCGAGGCAAATGTCTCACGAGCACATTCTGGCTAAATTCACCTAACTTGGATCTGATGGACGTCTGAAGGCCTTAAGTTACTTAATAATTCGAATTTTTAATCAACATCCTCAACATGCTAGCATGCTAGGTGAGCCAAACATTTCAGTGTCCAGACATTATATTAACTAGGCTGGATTATTAGTCCTAAAACTGAGATACGAATGCGTGAAAGTTGCCAACACTATCAATGAATAACGTTAGCCTCAATTAAGTTAGGTAGCTGATCTTTATTAATGTCAGCTGGCATTAAGGATATTTTTTACCAAGTTAATGTTGGGAAGTGGCGAGCACAAACCGGATCAATTGAGCTTAACAGCACATACACAACACTCAAAAATACCACGTAGACATGGTTTTGATAACCATTTACACCTGGCAGTTTTAACTATTCATTAATTCATATGGTACTTGTGAAGCTGTTATGGATTCACAAGACATCACAGCCACAGGGCCATTTACATCCAAACTGCCTGGCCCTGACGACGTCGCCATAGCTAGCTAGCATCAGGTCGGTTAACTAAAAGTTAGCTATCGGCTAAGCTAGGTCTATCGATTAAGACAACGACAAATGCCACAATTATACTCGTAAAGAAACTTACCTTTTTGTAAAATTCTATTACGTCGAACTGGAAGTACATCACTTCGGGAATGGCAGGACAAATTAAGTAGTTAGTAAGTTGGCCAATGTAGCGTAAGCGACCAGAAACGAACTGAGGCAAACTCGTCGCGTTAAACTAACATTGCTAGCTAACTAGTTAGCTGACAAAAACTTCCACATCAATGTCGATTTCTTATAAATAAAGTAAAAATCTAGCAACCAGAATGTGCTTTTGAATCCGTTTTGAATTGTGTTCGCTCTTTGGGGTGAGTTAAAAGACCATCTCTGACTGAAGCAGCCAATTTCTTTGTGCTTCCCCTTTTAGTCATTGAGTGAAGCTACATTGTGGGCATTTTCCTGCATCACTTCCTGCCTGCCTGCCTACCAGCAACCAACAGCTGATCTCCATCTCAGTTATGACAACGATAGGATAAATAATTTTAACGAATTAAAAACAATTACTGACGCGTGTGTTTTGTTGATGATGTTTTAGTCCAATATTAAAGGATGGGAACTGTGTCTTTGTAACTCATTCACTGGCTTAAACTGGGTCTATAAATAGTGGATTGTATAAAAGTTGCCACTACTTTATTAAATAGGTAAAACACCTCCAACTTTATCCAGTAACGGCACTCGTTTATCTTTATTTGCGTTTTTAAGTTCTTGGATCCTGCTGTTCAGAAGCCAGGTCGAGAAAAACGTCATCATCAGGCGACCAATGTGTTTCCACTGTCCCAGCAAGCTGCTGTTGAACTAGCCTCTTCTATTGACACTGTCGGTAGGTGAAGGTTTGTAAAATTCAATAGACTCTAAAATATTGTAACATAGATAACGCCAATGCACTTCGATAATGTAAGTGACACTCAACTATTCATTTAATCTCCCCGCTCTTTAAGCCGATATCTTATCATGGCTGTCAGAGACGCTCAAGGATAGCTAAGTTAACTAGCTTCATGTTGATAAGAGATGCCAGAGTATTGCCTCATGTTTTCTGTTAATACAAATAAGCCAATAACATTATTCTTAAGACCTTCTTTAATCTCCACCCATAGCAGAGCAAACGATAACTACCTTAAAGTCAGTCATGTAACAGTTAAATCAGGCTATGTTTGGGAAACAGTCCTGTGTTGGTTTAGTGACCTCTAGTGTGAATGACGGGAGCGCTCAAGGCTAACAACAACAAACCCCTCAAAGCCAGCAACTCTCCGTGGCGTCAGACTTCCAGGGGCCCTAAATTAATTACGACTTGGTAATTAATTGCATTTTTGTGAGAGACATCACACCGATAAAATACAAGGTAGTTCTTGCATTGTTAGCTGTTCTTGTGGGACTTCCTTGGTATATATGGTGCTTAACAGTACACATAAACATAGAGATACACTGTAAAAATATACAAAATGATACTAATACAAAAAATGCACAAAAAATATACAGGGTAATTAGGAAGGAATGTGCGAAAACTCACAATATGAGCAATAAAGAATTAGTGCAATGTCCATTTAAATTAAGTTTCGTTAAATCAGTTCAACACATAGTTACCGAGACACTGAAAAACTGGACTTTCTTGGTATTTTTTCAGCATAGTGCTGGTTGATTTTGTGGTCTATGTGCAAATAATGACGCTGCCAAGTTTAGTCTGTTGTGTGCACAATACTTAATGGGAACTTGGAGGTGACAGGATACATAACCAATACCCAGTAGGTGGAAGGTGAGGGATAGAGGGCAGCCCAACAGCATTTTCTTTCTGCCCCAGAGCCGCCAAACAGATTCATTTGACCCTGGGAGTACCAGAAGGCTTGTTTCTATTTTCTGGTAACTTGGTCAAAAGTCTAAGTGGTGTCCAGCAAACTGGTATCAAACTGAAGGCCTTTTGTGTGGTACAGTGTGTATATGTTCATGCAGATAAATTAACAGGGTTTGTAATGCTATTATTCTTTTCCGTACAACTTCAAGTCCTTTATTGTGCAGGTAACTGCTGCTGTTTGTGAGCCCAGATGACGGCCTCCACTCGCAGGACGGTGCTGTCACTGTACACGCGGGTGTTTCGCATCGCCCGGACCTGGCAGACACAGAGTGGAGTTACAAGTGACACAGAGACTGAGAGGAAATACATACTCCAGGAGGCCCGCACTCTGTTTAGACAAAACCAGCAGGTGCGAACAATCCACTGCTTAGAGAAATGAAGAAGAGAAAAAAGCAGTAGTGAATGGCAGTTTGAATGACTCATCTTTTCTTTTGTGTGCTTCTTCTCAGCTCACAGTTCAAGAATCAATAAAGAGGTGTATTGAAGAATGCGAAGCAAGGATAGAAATAGGTAAGAGTGGAGCGCTGCCACGAGTTTCCTTACACAAGTCTTGACTAAGCTGTATCCAACTCAGGTGAGGACAGTAACATGTAATCCTTATGAGGGCTTTCCATGTTTTCTATTTATCAAATGAGGATTTCAGGACAGCATAGCTCAGTGTTAGTTTTGGTCACCATTTGTAACAGGTGTAATATTTAGTGTATGATTATGTATTTGTCAGTGAGTAATTGAGCACTGTCTGTAGTGTTTCATCACGAGTAAGTAGAGGAGTAAACACTGACCTAAAGATTTTTTTATCTATTTTTTTTGGATAAAGCAGAACCGTCAGCATGAGCAAGGCTTATGTTGTCGTTGTTTAAGTGACATAGAAAGCGGCTGTAATGCCTGACACAAATAAGATCAGAAAAGTTATGCCCTTGCATGCGTGATTTTTTGTTTTTATAAATAGGCGATTAGTTCAGTTGTGGGCAAACAGGCAATTCTACACCCTTGTTCAGCTCTTTCACGTTCCCCTTTTAGATTACAGGTGCTGTAATTTGACCACAAGTTTATATTCTGCCTTTGAAAGGAGTAAATCAGGCAACAGAGATTAAATTATAAATGATAAACTAGAAATTAGAAATGCAATCTGTGTATGTTCCGTGTTTGGAAGAGTGAGATTTGTAGCCACTGAGTTCGTCGTTTTCCATGGTCTTATAAAATGTTGATACAGACTGTCCTTTTTCCCCCCACAGGTCTACATTACAGGAACCCATATCCAAGGGCTGTAAGTATTAACCATATATTAGACAGATTAGATATTTTTCTGTTTGTGTGGGTTATTGTGTTGTTGAGAAATGTTACCCAGTGATTTTGTCCTGTGAATGTTTCCCGTAGACGTACCTACCACCACTGGGACTGGCAACTCAGAAAGGCAGGAAGCTGCGAGCACAGCAGCGTCTGAGGAAGCAGGCCAAGCCTATATACTTACAGTCACATGACGAGACCTGATGCTCGATATCCTCGCTCCTTGAGTTCAAGTTACCAAGGACAGGAAACTAGAGTGCAATTGCAAGGTAATCTCGCAGGCTGAGCTGCTGCAAGCACTCAGTGATGCAACACTCATCATTCAGGAAAATGCCATTTTATACTGTAAACTGCGTAAGCATGAGTTCTAACTGTAGCTGGCCAGCGTCAGATTCAGTGTGAAGAGACCTGTAATATAAGATCAAGTTGTACATTTTATTTATTTTTCTGCATAAAAACTGTTGTAATAAATACTTCACATTCTCTATATCAAATAGAATCATATAGAGGTAAAAGTTGGCGTTTAATTTGTGTTTAAATATGTTCATTTCAACAATATTATTGGCAAGTAACCAAGCTGCGAAGAAACAAATAAAGTTGTCTTCAAATCTTACATTCTAGTAATACATTTGTGAATTTACCATCTCTCTTTTTTTGTACCTTTTTTATTAACAACCCCCTAATATTTGCCCCCATTCTTTAGCTTTTCCATATAGATAGCCTGTTTATTCACATGGGAAATCTGAAATGAACTCCAGAAATGTTGGCAACAGCATAGAGGAAGTTGGGAAACAAGTCCTTTTTTACTTATCTAAAATTCTGAGCCATTGTGTTTGCGGCTTCCTATGAAGTTCTGAAGAACTAAAGAGGAACATTGGGGAGTCACAAGGCGTCACATCGAAATAGAAACAGAGGGCGGATAAAATTGGAAATGTGCAACCTTTGTGATAAGAGGCAGGAAAAAAACAAGCTAAAAGGTGAGAGATAAATATAAATTAAGTGTAAATATTAAGGTAATATGAAACAAAATCTTTACTTTTCTATTTATTCATGTCTGTTTTGAAAAGAAAAAAAATGCTTTAGACTAAATCTATATGCCTTTTTGATCAAGATCTGATGTTTTGCCGCACTTGTCACTGACAAAAAAAATCATCTTCCAGCAGGAGATTTTAGAAATTGAACCAAACCACTATGAGAACAAGACGAGGACAGGGCTATATAGAGTTCATGGGGTTTAGTTTTTTTCCCCCTTGAACTTATTTTAGGGGCATTTACGAAACTCTGAAACAATGTATAATTGTTACAATATTTTGTAAAATTTGCACAAAGATGCTGCCACACTTTCTCTTTCCCTCCATCTGCTGTTGTGCTCCTCTACAGGAGAGAGAGAGTAAGCAGACCTGCATCCACCCGAACCAGCTTCTGTATGGCTACTTTATATTAGGACTGCAGGATTATCATATAGGCCTAGCCCAGTTTTGTGATATTATATTGGCGATTGTAATTTTGATTTAATAGAACTGGTATTATGCTAAATACATATTTTGTAGATGTATTCTGTTACTGGATGTGGACATTATAAATCACCTGCTGGCTGTCCAGTTTATTGAAATACTTCAACATCTCAAACGTTTGTTTTGTCTTAAAATAGATTTGTTGTTGTCACTTTAGACTAATATATTTCTAATAATATAGCCTACTTTGCTGTCTCAGTACTGTAATTACAAAGTTGAATTGTGCATTCAGTATTGCATATTTTTGGCGCGTTGCCCATCACCACATGTTGATGATGTTCAGCTACTGTAGAGAGAGCACGAGCTTACTGCTGGATGTTCAGCAACAGAGGAGGGCAGGCGGGAGTGTGATGAAATATCCACATACAGTATTTCATGACGTTATTCTGCCTCGGTAGATCCACGAACGTAAACGATCAATACTGTAACTCAGGTTTAACAGTGGTGCATCTACAAGCCAGACTTTGAACATGCACTTCTTGTCCACATTTTGTTTATGTTCATGGACATGTAAACATTGATGACAGGGATATGAATGATTTTGCAGATTGAAAGTGTAAGTAAATATAAATTGGGAGCAAAGAATAATTGGTGGTGTGTGTTTTGAGTTATTCTGGATGGTTATTTAATAACTGTAGTACTCTGTGCATTAAATCTCAAATGTGTTATTATTTATTCCAAATTTCATTTAAATTAATAGACTCAGAATGCTATTAAACTATCCAACATTCTGGAGCTGCACTTATTAGAAGATCGTGGAATATCTGGTTTGCTTTGATATTTCTATAAGGGCAGTTTGGTTTGTTTGTTTCCCTTCTATTTAGAAATCTGAGCAGAAAAATGCATTTCTCTCATGTACCTGTGGATTTATTCAAGATATTGATAATAGTGACAGTGAAATGCAGATGGGGGCGAAGATTCATTTACAGCATTACATCAATTGACAGAATACTGAGCTGTGCTTGTCAGACTACAGACATGTACAAAACTGTGATGTACAAAACTGTTTAATTGTTCTGCTCTAGTTTGAATTAGAAAATCTCCTTTTGACCACAGACATTTTGCATGTACTTCGTTTTGTGTGTGTTCTTTACTAACAGCCCAAAAGTGGCACTTGTGTTTCAAACATGGACTCACTCATCTGTATGTACAGTGAATGCTTCAAAACCTGTTAATACAATTTTATAAACAAGAGTAAGCTAAAGTACAGATGGTCTAACATTTAATTTGTTTCCTCAATTAGTCATTTGAAACCGTAAAAGAACAGCAGTAAATAAAAGTTAGGTCTCTTATACAGTCTGGTAACTTGATAATTAGGTTGCTTGGATGATAGGCCTCCACTTGAATAATGTGGTTCATTTCAGTGAGTTGGCTATAGTCCAAATGTACTTGAAAAGCCCTCTGTAGCTGATATATTCTGTGGGGACTAAAGTATATTTTATGTTCTGCTCCACTTACCAGCAGAGAGTGAAAAATCAAAAATGGGGATCAGCAAACATGACTCCTGATAACCTCAGAGGGGAATGCGTTTACAGTTCAGTGTGGTTCTCTGGTGATACAGTGCTCTATATCACGGAGCTGTAACACCCCGGAGCTCATAATGTAGACCTTATCAGATTTTTTTAATTTCACACTCTGGACTGAGTTACCTTGACAAGCACAGTGTCCTCTCTTCTAGGACTTTTTGAAGTCATTTTCTTTGTCCTCCATCGCCACATGATGGAGCCCAGTGGACACAGAGCGAAGGAAAGTGTGCATGTTTTACTGGGTAATGTTGGTCCGGAGGCTGACACGAGACCCCAGCTTCAGTCGTCTGGGATGTGGTGTCTTCAAAGGGGGAACAGTGTCCTGGTAGAAATAAATGGTCTCAGTTTAAACATGGGACGAACATGTCCTATATAAACGGTGGTACTGTGTGTCCTTACTCTGCTGGGGACAGAGAGAAAGTGCATATATGTTTCAGTCAGAGATGCTACACAGTGCCACAGGGTCAAATGAGTGACGAACACAGAAAATAAGGTTTGTAAAGGAATACTCAAGGGAGATTGTCTGTAAAGTAATCCCATGAATGATAAAGGGTCAGACGAGGAGACACAGTGGGAAGACAAGTCTGCTGCAGCAACATCCGAATGAGCTAAACTAAGTTGTCTACAAAAAAATAGACCTAAAATCCAGTATGAAGACAGACTGTTGTGAGTAATTCTGGACATTAACTCTGGTTTCTGTCTGACTAACTGTCTCATGACTGACTATGAACTCCAGACAACGTCCTGAGAATCAGGTCGGGGCATTGTCCGGAGTAGCCCTTTCACACGTAAATAAACTCACTAGTTCATGAGTATCTCTGATCAATATAATCATCTGAAAATAAGCAGACTTTTTTTCAAGTTGGAATTGCCAAATGAGCCTCAGAAAAAAACACAATAAAAAAATAAAACTATACATATCATTGAAATCAGTCACCTTCATCCTGTAAAATCATGTTGGAAAACTTGAGAAAGGCCGCACTGAGAGGAGCCTCCCTTTAACAGTCAAGTTTACTGAGAGAGAAAGACTTAAAGCAGGTAAGAAAATGTGGACTCCCTACACTCTTTAGCCACCAGGGGTCACACCTTACTAAGTAGTGAAGCCTTATGCAGTTCAGCAAGTTCACTCCTGTTTTATACAGTCTATGGTTCACTCCTCTCACCTATGACTTTAGCAGGATGAATGGACTTTGCTGTGCATTTGAGATGTCACTGACAAAATATTATCATGTGACTTTAAATATGACACAATGTTCAGTATAAAAAAAGTCAATCAGCTAATGAATCGGCAATGCAACTTTTAACATAAACTGATCTACAAATATTATTTATTTCCACCTCTCTGCAAAAAAGTCGTCTGTTTGGTTCTCTGAGGGCTGCCTCACATTCATTACCGCATCAGACTGTCTGATGCACAGTAAATAAAAATTCTCTCTATTCTCTTTGTGGAGACTATTTTACCTCAGTGATAAATGACTGTCCTCACTATAATTGACCACTGATGGGAGGGCAGCAGCAGACTATTTTAACATTAATGCCAGTTGTGACTCACTCTATGCATTCATATGTAGCATTTCTGTTGAACAATGACTTGCTAGGCTGATATTTCATTCATTTAATTAACTTTAACTCAGTGATGGGTGTGTACATAAGACTGAACAGTACATATGTTACTTCTCCCAGGAAACTAAATAATATGAGCAAGGAACAATGCTCATCTCCTCTTGCTGTATAGACAAACATAAATTCACATTTGTTAACTTTCTAATAATACTGTATGTGTAATTATTTATGATGTAATGAACACATTATTTTCATCCAATAGGAGCTTTAGATTGGTGTGTTGAAGAAAATAGGTCCTTTACATGTCCCCAGGTGTTAGATGTCATTTAGCACTATACCTGCTATTCACCATGCACCTTCTAAACATCAGCATGCAAGCACTGTCATTATGAGCGTGTTAGCATGTAGACATTTAACTAAAAGCCTTGCTGTGCCTAAGGAAGCTTCACAGAGCTTCTAGCGTGGCTGTAGACTCTTAGTCTTGTTCATATAGAAAATAAAATGTTTCAAAGAACCTCTCCAGTCCCTCATTTTCCAGTCTCTTACTCTATAAGTTGCAGTGACAACTATAAGCATTATGTGTTACTTTCCACACACTGTCACCTACTTCTGTGGCAAGAGGTGAAAGGATGATTTAACTCCAGCAAAGAGTGGCTGTTAAACATGGTTTGGAAGCCTGCTGTTTATTTGAATGAGAAATGTGCCAGCTTGTTAGCTGTGATCCTACTGCGTATGCTACTGATTTTGAAACATGAAAATAGAAAACATGAAACACTTCAATAACAGCACTCTGACTCTGTTTTGAACAGACTTGATGGGCAACACAGTCGCAGAGTGTGGAAAGTGTCCCTCACCTTGGTAAATGTTCACTGTTTGTGGCTTTTATAATGCTACACTATACAGCTGGATAAACAATGTGTACATTAATATAGGAACGTGTTAATGTTACCTCGTCTTACCTGGTCAACCTGCCTTAATGAAGCACAATCACAATCAGGTGGCGAAAATGTAAATTCAATCATAACTATTTGTTGTGTTCTTAAATATTTTGTTCCTATTGCTGGAATTCCCCGTGGGGATCATTAAAGGTTAATTTTATCTTATGAGTAGACTTTATGTAGACGTATAGTTTGTTTGTCATGCTAGTGAGAATATAATTTCCTCTCAGGGGCATTTTCTCTCCTTTCCCAGGCCAAAGTTATTTAAAACAATCAATAAACCTTCTCATAAAGGGCTGAAAATGCATATTTAAAGTTTGTTGAAAAAACTGGCTCTTTTTCAAGCTTTTCCACATTTGCATTACAATCAATTACAGGCTGAATTTCTGTAAAAGTGTGAGTTCAAAAGTAAGACTTTGTGCAACATTGGAAAAATACTATAACTGACAATTGGTTGATCCCCCTGTAAATAAACTTTCACAAAAAAAGTCTCAAAGCAGGCATGTGACCCATTTTTGCTGTGACGTCACACACTAAAAACTGGATCACAGGGAAAAAAGAGTTCTTTTAAAAGGTCGTCTGGTGTAAATATAGATATTTAGAGATTCACCTGAGAGCAGTGTCATTATGGAAATGATAAATAAGCTTTAGTACAAGAAGAATACAACGGCTCCAGAAAGAGGAGTGATCCATCATACAGCCCCTTTAAGCCCTTCACTCGGTGTGCATTATTTAGGGGTTTCAGAAAGACCCTGGGGGAAATAGGGTGGAAGAAACAGTGGGAGCAAGAAAAAAGGAAACGCATATAGGGTAAAGAATAATGCAGGAGTTCGAAATCTAATGTTGTACTTACAGAGCTATGATAAGGTAATTAGATGCTTGTAAATGGGGAAATCCATCTCCTCGTCTTACCTGGTCAACCTACCTTAATGCCTTGATGCAGATCACATTACTGTCTGTCCTGACCACAGTTGTACCATCATTAAATAAATATCAAGCTTGTTTTCACTTTACAGTCAAAACACACAAGATAAGGCAACTCTTCTGACCTTAACATACTATAATGCTAAAAGCTATTCTGTTCAATTCGAATCAAAACGATTCTATTCTAGTACACTTACACTTTTAGCAATGCCACAGCCATAATGTTTCAGTGGTTACTGCTGAACCAGCTGTACAGCTATATCCTTTATATATAGCTTTGGCAATATTGTTGCTATAAATTCATGCCAATAAAGCTAATTTGAATTTTAAATTACTACTCTACTGCAGCTACAACCTTTACAGCCTTTCATGCTTTCTAATGTAAAAAGCATAATTTCAGCTCTTAATTGTTGATTAGATTGGTCCTCCAATGATGCAATTATGAGAAATCATCCCCGTCAGAGTCATGAACATATGTATTATAATTTCAAAGGCAATCAAGTATTTTCTGAAGCCTCTAAGATTTGAATACATGTGGGCTTGTGGGATCTTTCCGTGATTAACTAATTTCTATTATATGTTTTGGTGTCATAACTCTGCACTGATGAAACACTCGTCCTAAATACACCATACATATCTATGGTGCAGTGCAACATTTCTTCAAATGTCTGCTACACATGTTGTCTCCATCAGCCTCCATTCAAACCAGTGTAGTGAAGACATATCTGCACATGCTAGCCATCTTTGGTCCAACACGCAGCACCTTAAGTTTATCAGAGCACGTTCAAAGAACATAATCTAAAACAGTTTTCAGTAAACACCGTATATTATTTATTGTTTGAGTTACCTTGGAAGTAAGCAGTAATTTAAAGAAATGTTTTCCATGGCTCATCTCGAGGAAACACTTTTCAAAGGAAACAGTGTTTGTGAAGGGTGACGATCAATGAGAAATGACAAAACAACAAAACATATCAGACAATGATAGGATATTTTTGTTGCTTATATTGTGTCATATTTGGAATGACACAATATAGGCAATAAAAGGATGCCATGTTCTTTCATGACTAAGCGTTTAATTGCCCTTTCGTGATGCCGCAGACATTTGTCTCATCTCCAGCTCTCTTGCTCACTCCCGTCCCACTCATTCTTTGTCTTTCTCTCGGCTTTTGTTTGGACTATACGTTTCACATTGTCTCAGCTCACAGAGCAGCTCCTCTGAACTTAGAGGAAGACTGGTGTGTGTGTGTGTGTGTTTGTACAGCTATCTTTGTGAGGACAAGCAAGGGTTTTTAACCTTTGGAGTGAGGACCATTTTGCAAAGTGAGGACATTTAGGCCGGTCCTCACTTTATTTTCACTGTAATGGCCTCCAGAGTCTGTTTATATGCTTCTCTCAAAGTTTCAGAGAGGTCCTCAAAAAGATGCCAAAATCGAAAATGTGTGTGGATTTTCGGTGTGTGTACGTACTCTGAATACACACACTTTTTGCTCTCTATCGCCCTCTATTGACATAACCGATTTATTGCACAGGAGCAACTTTAACTAGAGAAAGACATGTCTCATGGTTTTTTAGGTAAAATAAAATACATATTATGAAATTTCATTTTGTTTTATTTTACTATCCCTTAGTTTTTAAATATTTAACAAGGTTATAATGTGTTTAACTCACTTATAACATTAAACTACTGTTTAATAGTAACATTAAACTGTAGAAGGATTTTCAGACTGCATGAGATCTATACAACGAACTAGACTTGGTTGAAGCTTCAACCAAGTCCAGTTGCCCTTCATTTTAACCTTCGTTGGATAACTATGACCTGGATGACTGAGAATCTTCATAGACATCTGCATGAGATCTACTTTAAATATAAAATGCTCAATTTTTAAATTCCAAATTGATTTCCTCTTTGTGTATTGCCCATTAGTGAGAAATGTCTGTTATAAAGACATCATCACTTTTTTTGCTGTAAGATGTTTCTTCCAATGCAGCAGCTTGTTATATAAATTTCACTTTTTATTGTAAGCCAGTCAGATGTGTATTGAGTTGAAACACATTTGTGACATGTCCCTGCTGAGTTGTAAGTTGCAAAAAATCCTGGTGATTTTGATACCCTCAGAGGATAATATTTTTTTGCATATTTCTACTCCTAGTAAGTACTTATTTGTTATCAAAATGTAAGTAATTTGTGTTTTGAGTAAGATATATGTTATAGAATATCAATTGAATTAAAATATTGTTTCTTTTTAAATAAAAATATGAGTTTAAGCATGACACCTGCATCATCAATGCAGTAGCTGTATATTATGGTTCATTGCTGCAACACATCCTCATACCTAAATGACAAAATAGGTTTATTGTCAAGTGTCCCAAAATTACATACTGTATATGGCTGTTGGAAAGTCAAACGACACATTTGACTGTAACCCACAACAATACACATGCACATTTCCAGTATCAGCACAGAGAGGCTGCTGATCGGCCGGTGTCGTGCCAAGGTAGGTACCACAGATAGAAGGCGTTCCCCCGACAGTTGGAGCGCATGCATTCAGCTGTGAAGGAACTTCGAGTTCAACAAAGTAACTGATAAATATAACATGTAGATTGTTTATTTATCCTTTTAGTATTGTTGTTTTATCAAAAAGGTTTTGCAAAGCAAGCTAATGCATGGCTTCCAGATTTACATTTACATTATGTTGAACTTTATATTTATCTTATAGCAAAATTTTTTTGCAATAGTCTGACAATGATAAAACTGACCACGGATTTAATCACTTGCTCATCATCCATGTTACTGTTTGGAAGCTAGAACTAGACCCTAAAATGTGACACTGTAAAATCAAAATAACTGGAATCAGATTAACATCTGTGCATTATAGAGGGCGGATACGTTTTATGGCAGAATGCATGTCCAGCCTGGAAGGACCAGTACTGTAATCGCTTTGTGTGTATGAAAATTTATTTGCAATGCAATATTAAATGATTACGATACTAATCCCCTTCCCCTTTAAGGAGGGGGATTCTGAATAGTTTCCAATAATATCTAAAGGCTATCATTTGCAATGGAAACGTGGATTACAAGGACAAAATATTGTCTACAATGCTGCATTCATGTGTTTGCTGATCAACTAATTATTACTGTGATCTTGATTTTACAGTGTTGACTCCGTAGCTATTGGTAGGAGCATCTTCCTTAGAAAAGATTCATAAGGTCATAATGTGACTCATTGCCTTTACTGTACGCATACCGATCATGCTTACTGTCGCGCAAAGTATAGATAAACGTGGTCATTAGACATTTTTATTGTTTTTATTGTGGGCCTACAAAACCTCTGAGGCTCAGGCCTAACTGCAGGTTAATGCAGGCCTGCAAACAGTAACATGGATGACCAAGTGATCGACTCCATGGTCAGTTATAACATCGTCAGACTATACACTGAATTTATTTTATACTTTTAAGTATTATTACTGTATTTTTAACTGTTTCCAACTGTATAAGCGGTGGACAGTATGTTACTGTAGATTTTCAATGCATTCTGGGAAAATATTACTCTAAATCTAAATACAGTAATATTAACAGACCGCGAAAACCACCACAAACCTCCATTTTGAAATGAAGGACTGTCATCGATTCGAGAATGTTTAGTTTGACACCAGATCTCAATTTTCCTTGCAGCTTTGACATTAGACTGTTCAGGACTGGACTGGATGCAATACGTTAGCGCTGATATTTTATGTGACATTTTACACAGACTCTTCAGTTGTAGCTCTGAATGTGGTGAGTGCAGTTCACTTGTATAAGACCAAATTTAACGTTACAAGAGGCTGTTGAGGGATTGCTGTGTCTGTCTGCTGACCCGGCAGCTGCTTCATAATTAATATCTGATAAGTGGTGAATCTTGAAACAAAAATTGCAGTAACATAACGTTAAGTTAATTGAACTTTCTATTTTATTTAATGGAGCTGTAAGTTTGGGTGTGGAATTAATGTTAACATTAAAGGGGCATTATGGAATTTCCAGCGGCCACTCATGTTGCGGTTTTAAGATTGCAACCAGGCGTGCGCTCGTACACGTGCTCGCTTGAACTCATGAGCGAATAGAATCCAAAACACAAATCACTTTCATAGAGAGATCTCGCAATAAACACAGAAACACCTCACCTAACCTTATCCCCAACCAGGTTATTACTAGTCTATATGGCCAGTTATAGCTTCTCCAAAGAAGTAAGTATTTTCAGAGAAATCCATTTATACATTGATTGCTGACTGCCTACAACATTGTTAGACTCTCAACTTTAAAACAGATCTATTTATATGTATTAATATATACACACCTTGAGAAAAACACCACCTACTTCAGAATCCTGATTGTGGATTTCAGCTCAGCGTACAACACAATGTCCCTTAAGAAAATGATCAGCAAATTCAGCACTCTGGGTTTAAATACAACACTCTGCAACTGGATAGTGGACTTCTCACGAACGGGCCCCAGTCAGTTCGGATTGGCGGACTCACCTCCACAACTCTAGTGCTCAACACGGGAGCCCCCCAGGGCTGTGTGCTCAACCCCCTCCTGTTCACGCTGTACACCCACGACTGCATCCCCCGACATGGATGAGACTTCATATGGGGAGGAAATTCATAATCTTGTAGAGTGGTGCTCAGAGAACAACCTACCGCTCAACGTCAGCAAAACCAAGGAGCTGCTCATTGATTTTAGGAAGAAGGAGATAAAGACACACACTCCTGTCGGCATCAGTAGAGCTGAGGTGGAGCAGGTGAATAGTTTCAAGATCCTGGGAATCGGCATCACAGAGAACCTGACATGGTCGTCTCACATCTCCACGCTGGTGAAGAAAGCTAAGATACGACTGGATTTCTTGAGGAAGCTTAAGAAGACCAAATTCCCACGCCAAGTCCTTGTCAGCTTTTACAGGGGAGCAACAGAATGCATCCAGACTGGAAACGTCACTAACATGGGATGTGCACAGCCCAGGACCGGAGAGTTCTGCAGCGGGTGATTAAAACACTCAGAAGATCAACAGAAGATCATTGGTACCCATCTCCCGAGCATCAGTGATATCAGTGAGGTGAGGTGCCTGCAGAGCCCAAAGGATACTAAAGGACA